AAAAAAAAAAAATTAGAAACTTGGTTCATGGGTTTAACATCTGATTAGATGCAGTTAAAAAAAGAACAGGTGAACTGGAAGACAGAAGTTAAAAAACTTCTCATAATGGAGTGTAGAGAAAAATATAACTTTAACATGTGCAATTTGCTTCTGTACTAATGTTTGCTAAAAACGAGAAAACATAACTAATGCCATTTTAAGTAAAGCAGCTTTTAAGGGGTTATGTAGAGGCCAGGCACAGTCAAGGCAGGCCCAGGCACGCTAAATTCCAGGAAGAGAGTAATCACCATCCGGTTCCAGGAACTGGCCAGTTCCTTATCTAGAGGCCGCCTGGCCAGACCACAAGGAAGATAAACAATTGGGAAATATACTGTTCCTTATTGGGGTGCCAGCCGCTAAGCCCACCAATAAATCTAAAGGTCGCCTCAGATAACCCGCAAGCAGTATACAACTCATCCTGTTGCAAAAGTCTGTCAAAAAAAAACTGTATAAAAAGTGCTTGTGTTAAGAGCTCGGGGTCGCTTCTGTCCAAGAGACTGGGTGACCCCAGCATGCTGGAATAAACTCCTCTTGCTTGATTGCAATGGTCTCTGTCTCGTGGTCTTTGTGAAGTGAGCCATCCTGACGTGTGGGATTTGTGCATGGTGCACAAGTCTTACAGGAGCAGAAAATTAAAAATTAAAGCATGAATTAAGGAGCAGAAGTAAGGAGAAAACAGCCAGAAGCAGCTCTAGCATACATCCTATCTGAATTACTCAAGAGTGACTAGAAAGAGTGAAAGAGAAATAGCTCAGGATGATAGCTTAAGATTTTCTAGAAATGGGAAAAGATATTGCTCCTCAGATCAGGAAGCTCAATGAATTCCAAACAGTATAAATTAAAATAACACATGACTCATTGTAGTCAAACTGTTAAACATCAAAGCCAAAGAGATCTTAAAATCATATAGAGGGAAATAGATTGTAAACAAATGACAGATTGACAGCTGACATCAAAACCACAAAATAAAAACAATGGAAGAAATTAATGCCAACTTAACATTCTTAACATAGCTAAAACATATTTCAAGAACAAGAGTTGAATAAAGATGTTTTTCAGATATACAAAATGGAGAGCTTATTACCAACAGTTCCTCACTAAATGAATTTCTAAAAGATGTACTTTAGGAAGAAAGAAATGATCCTAGCAAGAAGGTCTTAGATATAAGAAAGAATGTTGAACACAGAAAATGGTAAATGTGGGATCTGTCTAAACAAATGCTGACCACACAAAACAAATTGTAACAGTGTCAACTTATAATGTTAAAAGTCAATAAAGAACAAAACTACTGATAAAAATAAAATTGAATAGGGAGAGATGAACAATAAATGTTTGCAATATTTAGAAAAAAGCTACTGATCAATTTTATAATTTACGTTAAAATAGAATGTTAAAATTTTTAGGATAATCATTAAAAATTAAAAACAGAATGTGTAACTTCTAAATGAGCAGAGGAAACTAAATGTAATAGGGCAGATGAACACAGGAGAAATCTGAAACAATACAAACACAAAAAAGGCAAGAAATGGAAAAAACAACGACCCAGAACATATGGGGCAAATAAAATCTACAAAATAAGAGGGCAGAAATGAAGTGAATTAGCAAATAAAACAGTGTAAATAGAAAGAGCTTTCCAATTAAAAGTCAAAAATTAGGGAGATGGGGAAAAAATCCAGCTACATGCTGTTTATCACAGACACAATTAGAATATAAAAACACTGAAGTTGAAAATAAATGAATGAAAAAAATAGGTAAATACCAACCAAAAGAAAGCTGGTGTAACTATTTTAATATCAATCAAAAATAGTCATTAGGGGAAAAGAAGATTGCTAGATTGAAGAGTCATGACATTTTCATAAAAGGATGATATAATTCCAAGCTTGCATGCAACTAAAGACATTACTTCAAAATATTTAAAGAAAAATTTAAAAACCACAAAGGAGATTTTAACATATTTCCCTGAATAACTGATAGTTCAGGCAGACAAAGAAATTAATATGAATAGAGAAGAAATGAACCCCACAATTAATGACCCTGATCTAGTGAACTATANAAAGGATGATATAATTCCAAGCTTGCATGCAACTAAAGACATTACTTCAAAATATTTAAAGAAAAATTTAAAAACCACAAAGGAGATTTTAACATATTTCCCTGAATAACTGATAGTTCAGGCAGACAAAGAAATTAATATGAATAGAGAAGAAATGAACCCCACAATTAATGACCCTGATCTAGTGAACTATACAGAACAACAGCATCCAAAACCTGCATAATTCTTTTCAAGCTCATTTTGAACATGGTAAACACTGACTACATAAAAAGCCACGAAGCAAACATCAACAACTTTTGAAGAGTTGTTATTGTATAAACTAGAATAAACTCTGGCTGCTGCAATTAAACTTTCTGTGCCTCAGTGATGTTCATAAATAAAGACAATCATAAATATATATTTCCCCCAAATTAATCTATAGATTTAAATTTCCAGTAAAAATTTCGATAATTTTTTTTGGGTGGAATTGATAAGCTGAATCCAAAATAGAGAGTAACAGATCAAAGGCTCATGTAGCCAACACAGTTTTGAAGGAAAAGAAGTAGGTAGGATGATCAGATATCAAGACTTACTTTACAAGATACAGTGAGCAACATTGTGTGTTATTTGCACAGCAACATACATAGGCCAATGAAGAGAACAGGGAACCGCGAACATATACACACATATGAAATCTTGACATATGACATATGACACAGCTGTTTTGTAGATCAATTAGGAAAGAAGGGGCTTTTCAGTAAATAGTGATGGGATAATTGGTTATTCCTTCGGAATAAAGAAAAAAAATAAATGAAATGGATTCCCACTTCATGCAGTGTCATACACCAAAAAAAAAAACAAAAAACAAAAAAAAACCCTTAAAACTTTAAAGTTTTTAAATTTTAAAACTTTAGAGGCAAATAGAATATCTTTATATCTTTGGAAATGAAAGGACTTCTAAAAAGACAGATTAGAGAAAAGATCGATAAGTCTGACTGCATAAAAATTCAGCAATCCTATCCATTTCACCATAGAGTATAAAGGCAAGACACAAATTTGGGATAAAACTTTTATAGCATATAAATTAATAAAGGATTAGAAACCAGAAGAATCATCGTACATCTATAAGTATATGAAAAAAACAACCCAATGCAAAAATGGTCAAAAGATATAAAGAAGCATTCCACAGAGAAATACAAATGCCTAATAAATACCTAAACATATGCTCAACTGGCTACCAGGAGAGAGAGGGCAAGTCTTGGTTAGAGTTGGAGGTTGTAAATAATCCCACCATGGCTGATTTTAAGCTACCAACCTAATGTCACTGAAAATGGAGTTGAGAAGAGATGCCCACAATCAGCTTTCATGAGCTAGTGTCAGCTGGTCTCAGCACATCTCTATCTCAAAGTCATTCAAAGTCATTACTAACCGGGGAGATTCACATTAAACTAAAGTGATAACACTTATTACAACTACCAGATTGAGAAAAATCAAAAGTAAAAGAAAACAAAGGGTCAGCAAAGGTATGGAATAAATGGTAATCTCATTCATTACTGATGGGAGGGTGAATTGGTTCAAACACTTTTGAACACAATTAGGCATTACCAAGCAAAGTTGAAGATAAAATCATTCAATCTAGCAATTCTACTCCTAGCAGGTAACTGTTACACATATGGAGCAGGATATATGTACAAAAATGTTTTTAGCAACATCATTCGTAATAGAAGAAAACAGAAACAATTGGACTGTCCTTTGAATGCAGAATGGATAAATACAGTGTAATATATTCACGCTATGGAGTCAAAGAGTAATGAAAAGACATGAACTAGCTATAAACTTCAATGGATTAACTGCAAAAACAAAATGTTGAGTGAAAAAAAGCAAGTCAGAATGATACATGTAATTCTATTTATATAAAGTTGATAAACAGACAAAACTTAACAACATATTTTTAAGGGATATATATACACAGGCAGTAAAAGGATCAAGGAAATGGTGAATACTAAATCCGGGAAAGTGGTTACCTCTGAGGGCAGGGGAGAAGGATACAATTGGAGAGGGGCATTGTGGGTCTCCAAAAATATTACTGATGTTTTATTTCTTACACTGGAGGTGAATTAAAAAAAAACAAACAAGAGGTAAATAAGTAAATAAATAGATAAAATAAGGGAAAATTATAATGAAAAATAAAATCTTGTTACAAAAAGAATCTGTGTATTAACAATAAATACAAGGGTACTTCAAAAAGTTCATGGAAAGGTAGAATTAAAAGGTAATTCAAATCTTTCCATGAATTTTTCCTTTTTTGTAAACAATGACCTGTACATATTTGTGGGGTACAGTGTGTTGCTTCAATACATGCATAGACTGCACAATGATTCACTTAGGGTAGAGAGCAGAGTTTTGTACCTATTAGTCCACCACTTCTCCTCAAACCCTCCCCCCTCCATCCCACCTCTGGTAACCATTATTCTACTCTCTACTTCTGTGAGAGCCACTTTCTTTTAGGTTCCATATTTGAGTGATATCATGTGGAATTTGTCTGTGCCTGACGTACTTCACTTAACATGATGGTTTCCAGTTCCAACCATGTTGCTGCAAATGATGGGTTTGTTTTTTTTTATAACTGAATATTCCATCCATGAACTTTTAAGTGCCCTCATGTTTGAATCTTAATTCTGTAATATCTTGTTCAATGTCTCTTTAAGCAATTCCACACAATTAAAAAGAGTTTTCTTCTCTTTTTCCACTAGTATTGAGTTTGGAAAATTGTTGAATATTGATATGCCATGTCTAACATCTCTTCTTTGAAAAAAACAAAACAAAACAAAAGGATTGTGTTCAGACTGACTTAATTAAGAGGAATGGCATGAGACCCCCATTATGCTAACAAAGAGAAAAACTGAATTAATTATATTACCAGGCACCTTAAGACAAAAATATTTCTCAGCTAGCAGCTGGAAAAGAGTAAGATTTTTAAAAAAAAGCACTGAATATTTTCATGTGAACTTCTTGAAAGTTATATTATTTAAAAATAAAGTATTAAACACTGTTGCTTTTCTCTCTAAAAGTAACTATAATTATTTTTAAAAAGTACTTTTAATATTATGATAATTCCCCACATATTTCCAGGACCAGGTTAAAGTTACATAAAATAATCACATACTTTTGTTTTCAGAATGTAAATACTGGGTCAAAAATAACAAATGCATGTAATAATCCTAAGCATTGCTGCTTTCTTAAGTTACATGTTTTCCCCCTGGCACTGTGGTATTGTCGAGTGACAGAAACTTGAGCCTTCTTGTGGAATTGGTTTAAAAATAGACAGAAGTGAGATGTTAATGATTCTTTAAAGTTAATCATAAAAATTTCAGGTTTTGTTCTGTATTTTGCTTTTCAAAAACTAGTTTCATTTTCATTTGGTATATTTAAAGTATTTAACTCTTTTATGTTTAAGTAAATAGTCATAACTTGAAAGCTGATTGAATTAGAAATACGAGTATATAAACACCTACTATGTCTATAAGTGAACAACTACATGAAGTTATAAAATATCTATTTCAATTTATTCAATTTTCCACCTTACTTCAGTGAAGTATAAATGTATATGTCTACTATAATTTTTGAAGGCTTTTTAGTGAACATAGCATGTATTCTGTAAAAATAATTCACATAAAAAAGTTCATATTGCATTCTGAAAAGCATTCAGTATTTTACTATTGATGTTGGAAGATGTTCTGTTGGAGCCTAATTTAGTATACCTTACATTTAAAAAAACCAAAAAAACAAAAAAACTGAAATTCAAACTCAGTTTCTTCCCATTAATTATCTTGAGCCTTGGGCAAAAATTCTTTAACTTTCACACTTCCTGAGTGCTTTCACCAAAGAGCAAAACCCATCTCTAGAGGCACCCCCTCCTTTTATCCCCACAAGACAAATTGGCCAGTTTAGAAAGAAAAGGAGAAAACCAATCTAATCAACTAAATAGTTCTAGGACTTAATGCTTGAGATGAACAAGGTTAACCAATGACCCAAATCAATTTGGGGCACGTGCTTTTCCATCTCAAAGCTATCTGGATAGAGGAAGGCTCACAACCTTCACATTACCCCCATCGTGACACATCATGCTATCATTGAATAATAGAAGACAAACACTGACCTAGTTTAGAAGTGCAGATGAAAAGAAAATGAAAACAGGATACTTGACAACGGCAAGGAAACCATGGTAACTAGAAGAGAAGACTGTTTTGCTTACTTTATTTTGGTCAGAATAATCAGCAAGCTGAGCCTTTAGCTCTGCAATCTTGGCCTCTAGCAGACGGATCACTTCTTCGTAGTCCATTTCCATCTTGTGCGCCTGCCTCTGTGCGGCTTCTGCAAGATGTATCCGACTTCGCAGGGCTCTTGTTTCTTCAGCTACAGCTTTGGCTTCCTAAACATTTCAAAATTAATGTTATTGGAAAAAAAAAAAGTAAAAAATAAAAAAAAATAGCTTGGTGATTTACATAAAACGTTTTCCTCACTCTGGAAATTATAATTACAAAACTTAACCAATGTACATATGTTCCTCACTTTTCCATTTGAAAATTAATATTCATGTTATTTTATTACGTGGAGGAATGGCCTGATCTTACTTCTTCCTTTGTTGACTTCTTGGATAATTTTCAGTACGGAATCTCTAGCTTCGCACACCTAGCATAATATTTTGAAAATAAGGGAAGTAGAAGAGAGTTGAAAATAGAAAACAGAAGAATAAGAATTGGTTTAAAAGATAAAAAGAATAGGCTACACCGAAACTCAAGTTGGTGGTAGGGCTCATGTTCTCAGAATGCTATTGCAGCTTCATCAGATGCTGCTGACAGACTCACAGTGTTGTGGGGCTTCTCCATGGACCAAGCCCCAGGGGCCAAAGTTTTCTCCTAACTGCCAAAAGGCAGAATTTAGTAGCAAAATATATAGCTATATCTGTAGGATGCAATGCTCACAAGACATTATAAAACCCAATAATATTATTGTTATGTCTCAGGTGCTTCACGTATCTTCTCATTTACTTAGAACAAAATTGAGAAAAAGGTATCATTAAAAACAACATACATAAGCAGAGACTCAGAGAAGTTACATGACCTGTTCAAGGACACATAGTGTCAGAATTTGAACCCAGCTCTGCTTGACTCCAACATTAACGTTCTCTTTTCAGCATTTTACTCTGCTTCTAAATAATAAAACAAAACAAAATAAAACCACATACAGCAGCTTCACTCTGTACCTTAGGAAGAGAAAAGGGTAGCCAAAAAGTACTTGCTCTCTCAAAATGTGCCTTCGTGCTGGGTCTAAGACAGTCCCCCAGGACACCAATATAATTGAGCATGGCAGTTATTATACTGTAAACCACTTTTTTTCCTTACTTGATGCGGAAATCTCTCTTCTCTGCAATGAAACATTCTGCTCCAATTGCCACAGCTAATATTAAACCATGGCTATTTTAATTTTCTCGTAGATGTATGGGACATTTGCTTTTGTTTGAGCCTAAATACATTTGAAGTGCTGGGAAGGTTAGGGATGTAGACGTATATTTAAGGGTCAGTTTTTCATTCATACATTCAACAACTATTTATTAAATATTTATTATGTGTCAGGTTCTGTTTTAGGTACTGGCCCCTCAGCATTTACATTCTAATTTGGGGAGATAGTAAATTAGGGATTATCAGTGAAGATCTCATTGAAAAGATGTCTGATCAGAGACCAGCAGAAGGGATTTCCTGAGAAGCTTTATGAGCAGAGGGAACAGTTTTTGCAAAGGCCCTAGGATGGGACTGTATCTTGCATCTTGAGAGAACAGCAAGGAGGCCAGTGTGGCAGGGACAGAGAGTAGTAGGGGATGGGATGAGGGAGTAAAACATGAGGGCAGAGCTGTAACAGGAGTGAATGTAGGGATGGGGTTGGAATGAAATACAGATCTTAAAAGGATTGTAGGATACTGTAAGGACTTTGATTTCACTCAGGATGAGATGGGAAGTGATTGGAGGGTTTTGAGCAGAGAAGTGATGTGACCTGACTTAAATTTTAAGAGAGTTACTTTTGCTGCTGTGTTGAGTGTAGCGTGTAGAGTGGGCAAGGGTGAAGAGAAAGGGGAAAGATAAAAAGTAATCATGGCTTGGACAAGGGTGATAGTGGTTGATATGCTGGGAAGTGGTTAGATTCTCAATATGGTCTAGAAGTAGAGCTAACGGGATAGTTCATCAACAGCATTCATTTAGCAACTACTGCATCCACAGACAACCAGGCTATATGATCAACATACAAAGGGGTAAAGGTACCTTCCCTTTTTCTGGCTCAGCTTTGAATGTCAGGTATGACTTAGATAAATGGAGGAAAAAGACAAAAGAGAATAATGACAAAAAGGGCAATGAAAACAAAGAGAGACAAGAAGGAATGTGGGACAGCTGAGAAATGACACTAGACCAGTTCTGACTGGAGTAGAGGTTTCTTATAGGGGAGCAATGAATTTAAAAGGTTGGGAAAGGAACGGAAAGGCTCTGATAGAAATGGCATGACAAGTGAAGGAGCTTGAATTTGGGGAAGTCTTGAAGCCATCTAAGCAGAAAATCATGTGAGAAAACAGTACGTTAGAAGCTAAATCTGGCAGCAGAGTGCAGGATGGAGAGATGTGGCCAACCAACTGCCTCCTATACCCTCGATTCAAAGAACTTTACTTCCTTGTATCTGAAAGTCATTGTCTTATACTAAAAGGGCACTTTTAGAAAGAACTATCTGGGAAAGATAGGGACATCTACCTAGCCCACCACATCATTCAGTCCAGTCCAGGTGATCAAGAGAGTCACCAGTGACATAGCTGGATCAACTTCACACAAGACAGTTACTGTGCATACAAGAGGTAATGGCTTGCCACATGCCTGCATCATTCTAAATGTTTTACATGGATCAGCTCTGTTAATCTGCACGCTGCTATGTGAGATATGCCTATTATTATCCTCATTTTATACATAGGACACAGGAGCACAGAAAAGTTAAGTCACTTGCTCACAGTCACAAACCTACTAAGTGGCAGAGCTAGGATTTCAACCCAGGCAGTCTAGTTACAAAGCTCATGTGCTTAACTACTATGCCACACTGCCTCACCAACTACAGAAAAAGCAAAAAAGAAAAAAACACATCACTTGTAGATGACAGTATCATCAGTGTCCATCCCTGCATGAGCTCGGGATGTGGTCATTACAATAGACTTAAACACATCGGAGGCTGCTACACTGCTCCCCATTTTTCATTCAATCAAGCTACAAAAAAAAAAAAAAGAAAAAAAGCCTCTGAAAAGAAAGAGGGACAGACAATTCTGCATAGCTGCAATGAAGAATAACTAATTTGATGATTTGTCTCCTTCACATTCACTACATGCAGCTTTTATTCTTTTATAAAAACAGCACTTTTATTTTTGTTCAAAGACTGCTAGTTAATTAAATGAAGAATCTGGATGGAATTTATAAAGCTATTATAGTGCACTGATGGTAATACAGTGTGAAATGTAGTTGGGTGGTAAAAGATGCAGAGGTTTTGATGCTGAATAAATTCATGCCATCTCTTTTGTAAATGTATAACTGTCAGGCTGGTGAATGTGACCCCTTAGCAAAGTTCTAGCCCAATTCCCACTCAATGGCTGTTTAAAAGATTAGTGCATTGAAATGACGACTCTTAGAGGAAGCAGTAAAGAAAAGATAACAGCAGTGTACTGTATTTAGCAATACGGGATCACATAAATTCATTTTCTCTTTTCCTCCTGGGCTGTCCTCTAACAAATAACTGTAAAGCCTCCTATGTCAGTAACAATCGAGTCAGAATTTTGCCAGTTCCTCACCATGAGCCTGAAATATCCCATCAGGGCAAATACTGCATTCAACTTGCTGATTTTCTTTGTATAAGGCAGAGTTTAATTCAGTTTAGAAAGTTAGAGAATAAAAGAAAAATTAAGATATAATAGTAAATCAAAAAAAGCAACATAAGCATTATGCTTTTTAATACTAAGCAGCATTAAAAAAAAAAAGAAAATCGCTTGTAGATGACAGTATCATCAGTATCCATCCCTATATGAGCTCAGGATGTGGTCATTACAATAGACTCAAACACATCAGAGGCTGCTACACTGCTCCCCATTTCCCTTGTAGTATGAAACAAGCATACTACAAGGGAATACTGAAGTAAAATCTCTGATTTTTTTTTTTTTTTTTGGTGATATCGAGGAAGTGCGTTCAACTCACATCATCCCCTTATAAAATGAGGTTCTTCTACCTCATAATTTCACAATGAATCTTCAGGCCAAATTCTTCTTTGAAAATATAATTCAAACTAATGAAATCTTTGTGGTCTACAAACACTTTGGACTTAGCTATGTGATTGTGTTGGGAAACGACAGTATAAGCTCAAAGGACAATATGCTACGTGTTTTTCCACATACAGCACTTTTTCTCCACAAGGCAACGTGATCTAGAATAAAATAACATGGGCTTTGGATGGGATATATCTAGTTCAGAAACTTAGATCTGTGATTTTTGAATTTTCTGGCTGTGTAATTCACTCAGATTCAGTTTGTTCATTTGTATAATGGGAAATAACACCCACATTATAAGATGAAAACAACTCTTACTTGAGGGTTAAAGAAATTATTCTTGGTACAGTTTTTTCCCTTTCCTCTTTACTACTTCGGAAAAATATACATAATCACCTATGTGATCAGAGAGCTAGGCTAGATAATTTATTTAGGGTTTTCCTGAGGCACTCAATTAGTACTACCAGCTCTTGAACTTTAGAGAAGTTGTCTGGAAACATAATTTGCACGTCTTTTTTAATGTTAGCAACAATTATGTAAAACCTTTTCCTTTCTAGTTATGAGTCGCAACGGCTCCCTAAAGTAGAAGGTAAAAGCATTAACTGCGGTTGCACATTTGTAATTAGGCTAGCACATCCACATCACTAGACTTAGAAGTTCTGTAATTTTTAAGCTACTCAGTAAATCTTTCAAAATGTCAATGGCTGATGGGAGAAAAAGGAGACTGCAAAGAGATATATGTTTTAGTGTAATGTAACATGCTACCAAGCCCTCATGAATGCTTCTCTTATCAGCTTCCTACACCCACTCACTGAAAACCCTTCTTGGTGTTGGTTCTACTACAGCTTGTGAAAGAGATTAAGAGTTACTGCAGGAAGAGGGCTGTTGAATGAAAAGTGTTTAAAAGCAAGATTTATCTACTTTCCTTAACTTATGCATCTGATTTATTAAAATATATATAGTACACTTCTCAACAGATGATCTCAAAGTGCTTTGCAGATATTCATGAATGAATCTACAACTCACCCCATAAGCATGGATGCATTTGGGGGAGAGTTTACACAACTTTGTATCCACCTCTTATATGTGCTCTG